TTTGGTACATTGCCCTTCTCTTCACCCAAATCAATATTTATCTCTATCTAACTAACAGTGCCCAAACATTTTTATATTTTCTTTCATGAAGGTATTTTCAAAAATATCTTTTAATTCATTTAATTAACTCAATTAATGTAATATATTACATTAATATATACTCAATATCTTATATTAAATATGATTCAAGCACTCAAATTAATTTATGTTCTTCATTTGCAGTTTGTAACATTTTCTTGGGTTTATTCCTAAGTATGTTCAGTTTTTGTTGTTACTGTGAATGAGTTCTTTTATTTTTACCACATTTTCTAACTAGACATGACTGTACTATATGAGAACTATTAAATATATACACTAAATACTACACTTACAGGAATTTGTGCTACAGATACACTATATATGGAAGCAAGGCTGTGCATTGTAACATTGTTAGAGCAACTAATTGTAAGTAGCCTAAATGTTTATCAATAGAGTAACAAATCAATAAATTATAATAAAACCATTCAACGAAATGCTTTGCAGCCTTAAAAGGAATGAAATAGATCTATATGTAGAAAGCTTTCTAAGATATATGGAAGACATTATTATGTAAAGAAGCCAATTGTGGAACAGTGTCTAAATACCACCATTTGTGTGTTTTTATGTTTGTATGTGCAGAAACATTTCCAGAAGAATCTACATTAAACTATTAATGGTGATACTTCTCGAGAAGGGGACTAGGAAATTGGTGAGAGTCAGTGACAGTGATGTGTTCACACCCATTTTTCTCTTCCAGGACATATGGGAAGACTACATTTCCCAACTTTTCTAGCAGATGTGATCTCACCAATGGGAATGTGAGTAGAAGAAACATGTCACTTCAGGTTAAAAACAACTAAGTGTGAATGTGAATCCTTTTCTCACCTCTACTGGTGCAGCTGGAATCAGCTTAGATGTGGGTCATGGTTCAGGCTCAGAACCAGCACTGTCTAACCCACACTGGACTGTGGGTGAGAAGTACACATTTGTTTTGTTAAGCCACTGAGATGTATGTGTAGGTTTATTTGGTACCACAAGTGGTAGATTAAAGATGGCCAGAAATTCTTTGAACTCCTCTCAGAGGTGGGTCTATATCCTCTCTCCTTGAATCTGGACTGGACTATGACTGCTTTGACCAACAGAATACAGAGGAAGTGATGCTATGCTAGTTTCTGGGCTCAAGCCTTAAGAGACTAGCAGCTTCCTCTTCCCATGCTGAAATGTTTGTTTTGGGATGCTACCTCTCAGAATCCAGCCATCGTGCTCTGAGAAACATAAGTCATCTGGAGGGGTCATATGTAGATTATATGTAGGTCCTTTGGTTTTCAGCCCTATTTGGCCTCCCAGCCAACAGCCAGGGTCACCTGCCCACCTTTATGAATGAACCATCATGAGTGATCTGCCCAGTGGAGTCTTAGATGATGATGCCCATCCTGGTTGTGACTGCACATAAAAGACTCAATAGGACAATCACCCTGCTGAGCTCAGTCAACACTCGAGTCATAAGTGATAATAAGAAATAGTTGTATTAAACAGTAAGCAACCCAAAAGCCACAAAACAGCCTGTCCTATCCTGACCATTATGAAGGTCTGGAGGAGCTCTGATGGCATAGTGCCTAAGGCATTTGACTGCTAACCAGAAGGCTGGCAGTTCAAACCCACCAGCCACTCCTTGGAAGGAAGGTTGGGCAATCTACTTCAATAGAGCTACCACCTCAGAAACCCAAGGAGGGTCACTATGAGTCAGATTGTCTTGATGGCAGTGAGTTTGGTTTGGTTTTTGGTTTATGAAAGTCTAGAGTGAAGAGGTGAAGACACTTTTCAATGCCAATCCTTTTGTACTATTTACATTTTTTGTTATGTACATATAATTTATATTTTGATTAAAAAATAGCTACAGTTTTGAATTTAAAACTACTAAACATCAGGTCATAGAAACAATTTTTTTGCATATATTTTTAATATCTCAGTAGTAGCAATAAATATTTACTGTTGAACTACTCAGTGCTGAGTTCTGTTCTAGATGTTGAAGACTGAGCTGGGATCAAGGCTGACTTGGTTGGTCCTCGCTCTCCCATAGGTTCTGGTCTGGCAGGAGAGACTGATAATAAATAGCTAAATGAACACAGAAACAGGTGACAAGTGCTCTGAAAGGAAGAGCAACTGGGTTATGTGGTAGACACTGACTAGGGTGGGGGCTATTTCTGATTGGGTGAACAGGGAACATCTGAAATCTGACTGGTGGACAGGTACCAGGCCCTGAAAGATCTACAGGAAGAATACTGGACAGAGGGAACAGACAAGGCACAAGTTCCAAGGTGGGAATGAGCTTGGCAGAGAGAATACAGTGATATGAGTGACAGTGAAGAGTACAAAGAGGTAGGTCAGAAATGTGGGCAGGGGCCAGATCAGGCAAGGCCTTCAAGGTCACAGTAAGGAGTCTGGAATTTGCTGGAAAGCCCTTAGAGGATTTTAAGTAAAATAAAATGAGCTGACTTAAGTTTTAGAATAATCAATCTAGCCTAATAAAGGTACAAGTTTCAATCTATATTCTAAAGTACACTGGGTCCCCAAATCATGATACAATCACTTTTTATGTTTATCAGTCACTGAATCATGTTTTTAAAATTAATTATATTAAACAGCATGTTAAATGTACAAAATGGAGATTTGTCTTCATATATTATGAATGTTATATAAAATTGTATTTTAAGTGAACTTTATATTAAAATCTTTCATATAACTAAAGATGGAAGATAAATATTTTTAGTCAAAATCATATTATCATATATTATTTAAAAATGACAAAATTATCTTAACTTTCCTGAGTGGTTTGTGAGTCAAAGGATTAGGAAACACTGCCCCCATATGCCTCCTCCCCTGAAAGAAACTGAGTACCCCTACACCTAATAGCCAGAGGGCTTTGTAGTGGTGTCCCCAGGTACCTGAGAGTCAGTCAGTCCTAAAGGGAACTCATCATTGTCATCAACTAGCCCTGGAACTCCACTGGTAACCTGCCTTTCTTTTCCTAGATATTTGTTCTGGTGAAGATCACCACCTACTACTATATACTCCTTCAGCAGACAGGCCACATGGGGCTGGTGCTAGAGGTACAGAGGTAAATGGGACTCAGGCCCTGCCTGTCTCAAGATCATAATAACATGCTGTGATGACTGTGGTGATAAAGGATATGCAGGGGCTAAGAAGATCCTGAGGCTGGGGACAGAGAAGCCCTAACTTAGGGCAAAACCAAACCAAACTCATTGCCATCCAGTTGGTTTCCAAGGTGCTAACTCTACTGAAGTAGATTGCCCAACCTTCCTTCTGAGGAGTGGCTGGAGGGTTTGAACCGCCAGCCTTCTGGTTAGCAGTCAAATGCCTTAGGCACTATACTACCAGAGCTCCTAAATTAGGGTAGGGGCAGGAAAGTTCTGGAGGAAGTGAGCCATGAATAGGAATGAGGCAGACAGAGGGGAAGATGTTTCAAACAGCATGTGCAGAGGCCATGAGGATTCAAGATAATGACATGTGAGGGACTGAGCCCAGTTCATTGTGGCTTCAGAACAGTGGGGTACAGTCTCCTGCATTGTCACTGTTCTTTATTGCTTTCCAAGCCCTGTGAACCATTCCCACATCTAAGCAGACTAGTAACCTCTGGAGCCTGCACATCACCCAATTTCTCTCATTTCCTGGAGATGGACAGGTCTGCATTCATCCACTGAGAGTAGGGTCTTCTGAGACTTGGAGTGCTCAGGGTGAGGACAGGCCCAGTGAATTCCTCCTTTCATTCCTCACACCAGCCTGTGTTATGCCTGCAGAGCTTTGGACAGGGGCCTTGCTGAGGACAATTTTATCACATTTGCCTGCAACCCGTGATTCGGTGTCAAGTGTACCCGCAAGAGATGTCTCTGCTTTTCCACAGGCCATCCAAGTGGAATTAAGCACTGGGCCCTAAGTCAGGACACTGGGCTGCTGGCCAGCTCCCTTCAGTCTTAGACAAGCACCTTCTCCTTTTGGGTCAGGGGTTTTGTACAGGAAATCAGCTGTACCTCTTCACTGTCAGGGACCTAAATTTTCCAAGAACAGCTCCTCACATGGGTGGTTCCATCTCCTGCCCTTTCAGAACAGGAACCCTCTCAGCCATTTCTTCTGCACCTGCCAAGAGTTGTGTCATCGAATTTCTGCACTTGTTCTTTCCGCTGTCTAGAATCCATCGCCACCCCAAACTCCTATCTCATCCCTCAAAACACAGCCCAAATGCCACCAGTTTGGGGAAGCTGCGTCTCTGCCTCCTTTGTTTTCTTTTCTCGCTATCATACTGTGTGCCTTGCGTCTCTTTCGACTCCCTTCCCAGATTTGAGCGCCTCGAAGGTAGAGTCCGGGTGTAAGGGGATTTCTGTGTCCTTACTTTAGAGCGCAAGGGTGGCACTGGGGTAGAGTCGACGAATGTCTGTTGAATTCAATCCGGGTGATGTGGGGTTAAGGAACCTCAACCCTGGAGGCCCCGCCTCCAGAGCGTACCAATAGATGGGGAAGCATCCGCGAAGGCTCTGATCCCTGTTCTTACCCCATGACAGAAATAGGGGCCCCTACTTCAGTAAATAATCTAGGTGGGGGGCTGGCGGAGTAGACTCTGAAGTGGCTTCGTCTCGTATTTACGTTCAGTTATTCTCCAAGAACGCTTTTAGTACAATCCGGGGATTCCCCCGCCGCTGCACGCCCCCTGACGTCACGGAGTCCCCCGGGGACCCGCCCCGTCTCGCCACGCCTTCTTCGGCGGGAGGTGCCGGCACTGCGGGTTGGAGAAAGCGGCCATGGCAGAACCCGGTTCCTCCATCATCCCGGATTGCTGTGTCGCCCCCTGGAAACGCCACATTATGCTGCAGCTGCGGCAGCGGGATCGGACGCAAAAGGCACTCTTCCTGGAGCTGATGCCGGCCTGTGAGTGCGCCCCAGAGCAGCTTAGAAGATAGTATTGAGTGGGCTCCGGGGGCAGGGAGAGGGTTTGTCCACCTCTGCCCGTTGGGACTCAAGCACAACATCGCCTTCTCGCTTCCAAACCCTTATGTGCTGGAGCCCACTGTCTGTCACATTTTACCTCCAACTGGCCAGATTTTTTGCCCCTTCCAAAGTCCACTCGGAGCCCGCCTCCTACCCTCCCACCCATCCCGTTGCTCCTGCTCTCCTCACCCTTTGGGGCTGGCGCAGGTCTGGCTGCAAAAACTGGGCCTCCTAAACCAGTTAGTCAGAGATCGTTCTTTTTTTGGTGAGTGTTGGTTTTGTGTGGTCTCTTGTGGCTTCCCATCCCTGTGGCTCCCAGGGTAGGGCCTGGCTCATCCATTTCGGCTCCATAGCCCATTGAAGTACCGGCAGGACTGCCCAGGGCAGCCACCTGTTGGTCAGTCAAAGTGATTGAGTGAAACTGAGTTCTAGGGAGGAAGTTCTGAATTCCAGGCTCTGCCAGGGGTAGGTGGTCATGACTCAAGTTATGGAGCCCGCATGTCCGCAGCTCATGCTGGCCTGAGGGAGAGGCAGGGGGGCCCCAGGCTGCTTGAGGGAATTGGCTGAGCCCCAGCAGTCAGACTGTCACAGAGTTGTTCCTGGGCAGCTTGTTGGAGGGGTGTGGACAGTTCCAGGAGTGATGAACAAGTGTACACCTGTGGGTAGGGCCTCTGACCACCTTCACTTCACCTGAGGTTGTGTATTTGGAGCTAAATGTCTAACCACAATCCTTTCCATTCCCTCACTAAGCCCAGTCATGGCTGTTGCTTACCTCCCCACTCCCTATCTGAAAACAAATTTGCTACTCTTGTCCTGGGAGATTTCTTTGCAATTCTGTAGGCTGCTGGTCCTCTTCCTCCAGGGTTGTGAAGCCAGACCCCTGCCTCCAGGCAGCCTCATTTTACTGCTCAGATGAACAACAGAATCACCCAATTTGAGGGAAGAGTTATGGCCCCCTGTCCTCTCTCCCCCATGCTCTGGGAGCTGCAGACTGAAGGTCCAGTCTGCTCTGTGGTCTTGGGCAGGCCATATCTCTGCCTCAGATTTCTCACCTGTAAATTGGGGGTAATAACACCTTCTTTACACATGCTTGGGGGGAGCAATGCAGTGTCCTGGGGCTAGATGAGGGACAGGAGGTGAGAGGAGCTAGGCCTAGGCTTACCATTCCTTACCCTACCCCAGAACTGGTGAGAAAAGAGGAGGTGACCAGGATGAGACCTAGGTTCCAGGGTCTGTGGCAGTAGCTGTTAATCTGAAAGAGGTCTGCTGGACAACTGCCCTAGGACTTTCTACTCTGGCCTAGGGGGAACCTCACACCAATCCTGGGGAAGTCGATTATTTTTCAGTCCCTAAAGTTTGCGCCCCTGGAGAAGTGGCTTGCCCAAGACCACAGATAGGCAGAGCTCAGTATGTTTCATCACTCTTTATCTTCCCCATAGGGCCAAGCCCTGCCCTGGGACAGGCATAAGTCAGACTCCCAGCAGGCAGTGTCCAGCCATCTCCTTCTCCAGCAGCGGTTGTCTTTGTCCTTGAGGGAACAGGCCCTCTTCTTTTGGTTGGGCCTGGGAGCTAGTGCTTTGAGGCTGTGCCTTCAGGCTGTGTGAGGCTGTACTAACACCTCTCTGGCAAGGGGCAGAATTCAGCCCTCCAGTAGAGTCCCCCTTCCTGGTGGCCCTGGGCTCCTGCAGCTCTACTGGCTAGAGAGATAACTTGTATGGATCACTATCTTGTACCCTCAGATAACCGTCTTCTGGAGAAGGCTGAGCTGCTGGCCCAGTTCTCAGAGAAGCTGCAGCCAGAGCCCAACGATGTCACTTCTACCACCCACCAGGATCCCTGCTGGTGAGTGTATGTGTGTCTATGGTCACAATGGGCTGTCTATGCCTGGGCCCTGCCTCCACTGCCTATGCTGAGTTCATTCTCTCCCTGGTCCCTCATCAGCCCCTGGTCGTTGCCCAGGGGAGAGGGGACACAAGCTCCCAGGCGTTTCTCCAGGCCAGCATCTTAGAATATCATATTTCTCCCCCATACATCTCAGTCCGTCTCTGCATTTGTCCTGACTCTTCCCCACCTGTCTCCCCCACAACTCCTTTTCCCCTTCTCTGTCCATCTCCCTGTTCCTTACCCTTGCCTACAGAAAGGGTCTTGCTCCCAATTCCAAAGAGGGGGTGAAGTTGAGAACCAGGAATAGGTTAGGGCTCAGGGTTGGGAAGTGCTACTTGGAGGGTCCTTGGCCAGGGAAACCAAGGCCTGAGGGAATTCCCTCAGAGCAGAGGAGCCACAGACAGCTCATTTCTGGAGACTTGCTCTTTCCTCTATTGCCTTGCTGGCCTCTACCTTCCCCTGGAGAAAGCTAAGGGTTCCTGTCAGGCTTTTCATGCTGTTACACCTGGGTAACAGCTCTTGGGCATGGGGGTAAACAAAGAGCACCACTCTCTGATTGCTTGGCAGGGAGGAGTCGGGGCCTGACTCAGACCAAGGACCATCATCACCCATTCTGAGAGTGAAGTGGCAGCAGGAGGAAGAGGGGCTACGGCTGGTCTGTGGTGAGGTAGGATGGACAGAGAAATGGGGAGGGGGTCAAGATACAGGTCTTTGGAGGGGGTGGTGGTGAGGTTCAAGGGAGCCAGCAGGTGAGTGAAGGGCACTGTTTGTTGTATTCCCTAAGTCCAGTGCTGCAGGCATTGAGTGAGTAGGCCCCAGTTGTGTCCCAGGCCCTTGCTCTTCCTGCCCCTTCTGAGGGTAGACTCCACCCCTTTTGTGGTAATGAGCAGTTCCTGTGGGGCAGGAGTCCGTGGAGGTCCTAATCTGAAAGGAAGCCAGGACCCCTCACCTCTAAGAGAGGGGGCCAGGCCCCATCCCCTGTGGATGAGCCTGGGCAGGGGTCGGAGTGCTCTGTAGGTTGTCCCTGGCTGTTCAGAATGAAGTGGGCTCTAATTGCAGTTGAAGGGAGTGAGGTGAGACTTCAGAGAGGGCTGTGAGACATGCAGTGGGCCTGGCATCCCGTTTTCCTCCCAGAGGCCCAGACTACTCCATTTATCCCTGTCTCGCATCTCTGCCCACTCCCAGGGCCTAGCCCCTACAGTTGATTTTCAATACACATATGCAGACAGTAAATAAAGTGGTCTACCTCTGACAGCAAAACGTGGTACCACCACTCTGAACTTCCTTCTCTGGCTCCTTTCCCTCCTGTCTTGCCTCCCTTAAATGCAGGTGTTCCTTGGAGTTGGGCTTTGTTGCTCTTTTCTCTCTACACATGTTCTCTGTTAGGTTTGGTCACTGAATCCCAAGGCTTCAGGGATTTTCTCTCTCAGACCTTAGTCTCCAGTCCAGTCCTTTCTTCTGAGCTCGACTCCCTTACCCAGTTGCTTTTGTGACATCACATTTAAAATCAGTTACCATCCCCCCTGTAATAATATGGCCAATACTATATTGAGAGTTGACCTGCCAGTACTGGGCTAAGCATTGTCTCAATTGATCCTCCACAACTTTACTGCTGCAGAGGAGGAAATTGAGGCCCTTTAGTGGGTGGCTGGAGTAGCAGACCCTGTTCCACCAGCCTCTTTGACAAAGAGAGGCTGGAGGCTTGGGGAGAGCCCTGCCGGGAAGTGCCTATGCCCACTTGTCCAATTCCTCCACTGCCCCCAGATGGCTTACCAGGTGGTGGAGAAGAACACAGCCCTAGGCACCCTGGAGTCGCAGCTGGAGGAGCGGCAAAGCAGGTGAGGCGCGCGTAGGTGGGAAGAGGACCTCTCTTACCTCTGGGAAGTTTGGGGCCACTTCTGCCGGTGTGATCCTTCGGGTTACTAGAAGGGCCCGGGAACTTTCCCCACGTCCCCAACTCCCCACCCCCACCCCTAGAGCTATAGTTGGTCTCGGAGGAAGGGCTCTGAGGACAGAGGGCTTGTTTGGAGACTTGACTTAGCCAAGTCATAGCTGGCCTCGTGGCCATGGCAAGTCTGTCTTCGCTGTGAGACAGGTTCCCACAGTGAAGGAGAAGCCGCCAGACCAACCGCTAGCTCTCACCGTCTCCTCCAGGCTGGCGGCGCTGGAAGTCAGCGCAGCACAGTTGAAGGATGCGCGGGAGCAGCTGGCAAAGCAAGTGGAAGCCCTGCAGGCACGAAACGCGACACTGCGGACCGCCTACGACACGCTGCGGGCACACAGAGGCCTCCAGGAGGCGGCACTGCGCAGGCTCGAGGAGGAGGCGCGCGACCTGCTGGAGAAGCTCGTGCTGCGCAAAGCGCGCGCCGCTGCCGAGCGCAACTTGCGCAATGAGCGCCAGGAGAAGTACGGGAGTTGGGCCCCGCCCCTTCTGAGGGTAGACTCCGCCCCTTTTGTGGGTATGAGCGGTTCCTGTGGGGCAGGAGTCAGTCGAGGCCCTAATCTGAAAGGAAGCCGGGACCCCTCACCTCTAAGAGAGGGGGGCAGGCCCCATCCCCTGTGAATGGGGGGAGATACTCAGCCCTGGCCTGAAGGGAGGAGCATCTCTCCTAGGTGCGCCGCCCAGCGCTCAGGGTGTTTTTTTCCTCAGAGCCAAGCAGGCACGAGTCTCCTTTGAACTGAAGAAGGCTGCCAAGCGGGCTGTGAGCATCAGCGAGTAAGAGCGGGCATGGGCTAGCACTTGCCCAAATCAAGCCTCTGTTGCTAGGTTTGATTCCCAGGCTCTGGAGCCTCCCTGGTATCAGGCCTCTGCCTGCATTCCCATGATACACACATACTTGCATGCACACACACCACAGCCGTGGTCACAGGGTTCCCACGGAGACAGCCCACAGGATACTTGCAGAGCTACCACACGTGTGCTCATACGAAGTTACCTCCCTGGGTCTTCACCGTTTCACCATATCAGGCGCTGGCAGGAGGGACTGGCTTGGTCTCTTGGTCTTCCTAAGCGTCATTTCCTCTCCCAGGAACCCAGACACCCTTCCTGATCTGGTCAGGGAGGGGGTGGAGATTCCTGCCCTGGCAGCTGAGCCTGTGTCCCTGGAGAGTGAAGGTTGTGAGAAGTGGAAGAGGCCCTTCAGGTGAGGACCCAGGTGGCTGTCCCAGAGCCCCAGGCTAGCTCCCACCCCAGAGGTGGACAGTCTTCCTCTAGGACCTGGAGGCCAGCCCTTAGGCTGGGAGGGAGACTGTGGTGTGGCACAGACCTCCCACACATAGGTCTGGCCTCCAGTGCCACTTAGAGTCAGTTCTACTTTAGGGACCTCAGTGCCTGTGCTCCCTCCTTCTCCTTCCCAGGGCGAGAGCTCAGAGGCTGGTGAAAGAGTATGACCATAAGGGAACCTGGGGCAGGGCCAGGGCTTAGCTGTCCTAGGCGTGTGTGCGCAGGCACAGGTGTGCAGGCATGAGCATGCACAAGAACATGAGTGCATGTATGTACAGCCTTGGGTGAGCGTACCTGAGTGCGTGTTAGCACGTGAGCATGTGTAGATGTGTGCTCACACTGGTGGGACCTGACTGGGGCTTCTGGTGCCTCCCTCCCCAGTCACTGGCCCCTCCATTCTGTCTTGATCTGCCTGTCATTGATGCTGCTCATCCCCATCCCATCCCCCAGCTGAAAGGCCCTTCTTTAATCTTTCCATGCAATCCCTGGTGCCCAGGACTTGAGGCGGTAAAGGAACTTAGGGGAGAGACATGAGACACTCTGGTGGGCCGAGTCACTCCAGAATGCTCCCTATTGAGGTTACTCTGCAGGCTTCCCTCACCTCCCTGCCCCTAGCCTTGAGCTATCTCAGTTTGGGGCACCCTCACCCCTTCCCTTCTCCACAGGCCCGACCTTAGCCTCCCAGGAATGTTTGTTTGTGGATACATGGGGGTTGGGATGGTGCTTATCATCATGGTGGAGACATGGACTGGTCTGGGTAATCCCTGCTCTCCTGGTTTCCAAGGAGTCATGTTCCTGTTCCAGGCTTGTGAGGCCAGGACCTTCCAGGTCCCGAGCAGGGTATAGGGCTGAATGACTGCATTGTCCACCAGCCAGCCCCTCAACATCTTTCTCATGGTTTTGCCCAGGTCTGCCTCCGCCACCTCCCTGACGCTGTCCCGTTGTGTGGATGTGGTGAAAGGTCTACTGGAGTAAGTGTGTGCGTGCCTGTGAGTGTGCACCCACACATGTTGGGCTCCCGGGAGCCCTGTGTCAGGCTTCTCCAGCACAGGCTTGGTTTGTGTGTGTAGCTTGGCCTGCCTATCTGAATGTTGTCCAGCTTTCTTTGTGTCTCTGCTGGGCTTCAGGAGCAGGAGCTGAGTGTATGGTCTCATCGTCAGCCTGTGCCCAGTTATCCCTTAGGCTCTGTCCATCATCAAGGTCTCACAGGGGATCAAGAGCTCTAGCCTGGGGCTGGATAGGAGCTACCACTCCAGTGAGAGACAGACTCAAATGTCAGGGACTTGTTCAGAGTCAGAGCCAAGCGGTAGCAAGGCTAGGACTGCAACCCTAGCCCCTGGGTTTCTCTTTACCCACTGACCCTAACCTGCCTCTGCCTGTCTATGTGTCCCCTTTTTCAGTCTCCACTCAGACCCCCTAGGTGAGGCTGGATTGGGAAATGTGCTTGCTGTGCGTCAGGGCTGTGTTCTGCTGCCTGCCATGTCTGTTTTCCAGTGTTGCTGCCTCAGAGGAACTCAAGGCTGCTATATTAAGTCTTACTGAATATCTTCCTGACCCCCTTCTCCCCTAGTTTCAAGAAGAGGAGAGGTCATTCAGTTGGGGGAGCCCCTGAGCAGCGATACCAGAGCCTCCCGGTGTGCGTGGCTGCCCGACTTCCTACCCGGGCTCAGGATGTGCTGGTAAGGTGGGGTTGGGCCATGTGAGTGGGGCCCGAGATGAGAAGTGTGGACTCTAGGGTCATCTGAAGAGGACAGAGAAGCAAAGCTGGAGTCCTCAGCAGGAGGAGGGGTTTTTCTTCCACAGCTGTGGTGGGAGTCGCTCAGTGTTTTATAACCGGGGGTGGGGTGGGGTGTGAGTGGAGTGCAGAGGGAGAGACAGGAGGTGGGGGGGCAGCAGGCAAGGTAGGGGAGTCAGGGTAGAGGGAGGCTGCTGCAGAAGTTCAGCCAGAAGTGATGAGACGTGGTGGGGTTGGGTCGGCCCGAGTTTGAAATTCAAGGTTCAGGCAGTGACCTGGAGTGAGGACAGCAGGCCGGTAGCAGGCTGTGTGCGTGTGTGTAGGTGCAAGTGAGTGTGCACAGGGAGGTATGTAGGGGGAGCACTGGGGCACCAACTTCCCCTTTTCCTCACAGGATGCCCACCTCTCTGAGATCAATGCTGTTCGTTTTGGCCCCAATAGCAGCCTTCTGGCTACTGGAGGGGCTGACCGCCTTATCCATCTCTGGAATGTCGTGGGAGGTAAAGATCCCTCCTCTGCAGGTCAATTCAGTGCCAACCCCATCCTCATCTTGCTTCTTGGTACATGCAGGTCTTGGACCTCATTGTGTCTCCCACCTGAAACATTTTTGTGGGACCTTATAATCTGGCAAGAGTGAGGGGGCCAAGATTTGAGCCTCATTCTTATGAAGAAGAGGGAGCCTCCAGCCCCTGGGGTCCAGACCTGCATGGTGGAGAGGGCTGGACTCCGATGGTGGTCTCTTTGGGGGGAAGGTGGTCCCCTATCATGAGGTCCTGCAGTGACAGTCCTTTGAGGAGCAGGCCCCTGGGACCCACCAGGCTGCCTGCACTTTTAGCATCAATTCAGATCCCAGAAGTCAGTTAAGAAACAAAAACTATCTACTTTGTGCCAAGCTCTGTAGAGCAGGTATGTTGGGCAGTCAGAATCAGTTCCGGAGACTCCCTAGAGAGGGAAGTCTCCAGCTGGCCTGGCCCTGGCTTGCTGTGTAATCTAGGTACAGTCTTTTTGGTCCTCTGTAGCCCTCTGTGAAATGACCATCTGCCCTCTGGGGCCCCTTGCTGGCCATTAGGGGAAGTGCAGCCTCCAGGCTAGGCCTCCCAGGATAGACTAGTGATTATGTCCTCTAGCTTGAGAAAGTATGATCTCCCCATTTTCAGCCCCAAGCTTCTCCATTTCATTAGGCTGGTGACTTCATTTCACCTGTTCTCATGCTCTCAGGTCGCCTGGAGGCCAATCAGACCCTCGAGGGAGCTGGTGGCAGCATCACCAGTGTGGACTTCGACCCCTCGGTGCGAGCCTGTTCCCCTCCCCCCTCATTCTCCAAAAGCTGGGGCATATGACTTTTTAGGGCCGGTGGGAGCCCTAGGACCTGAGGGGGCATCATGGGTATAATTGAACTGGGCTCTCAGACTTCTTAGCCTAGAGACTCCTCTACCTGATGTCTTGGTGACCTGGGAATGTGAGAAGCTCTGAGGCAGCCCCTATCCCCACTCTCTGGCCTGAAGGATGTTGTCTGTGGGCAGGCCCAGGTTTGACCTTTCCTTCCTTCCCATCTCTCCAGGGCTCCCAGGTATTGGCAGCCACTTACAACCAGGCTGCCCAGCTCTGGAAGGTGGGGGAAGTACAGTCCAAGGTGAGCCTGACCGGAGAGGCCACCTGGGAGGTCAGGGGCCTGGAGGGTCAGCACTGGGAGGGGGTGTCGTAGGGTCTTGGTCATGCCCTTGATTCATACCTGGGATGGGGTGGGGGATGACAGGAGACGCTATCTGGACACACGGACAAGGTGACAGCTGCCAAATTCAAGCTAACAAGGCACCAGGCGGTGACGGGGAGTCGAGACAGAACAGTGAAGGAGTGGGACCTTGGCCGTGCCTACTGTGAGGCTCAGCACCCACCTCCTACTCGCCATCCACTGGAAACCCCTGGGCCTGGACACGAGGGACCTCAGCCTGATCTCTGGGGTCCCAAGGGTGAAGCCTTCTTTCCCTGTCCTTCATCCTTGCTTTCTTATAGATCTTAGGCTTTGGGTGGGTGATAAGAAGGGGAGAGAGCCCAGACTGGGAAGCAGGAGGCTCAGGTTCTAGTCTTGGGAGGAAACTGCCCCTCTGTACCTTAGCTTCCCTATATGTCCAGTGAGCTGGCTCCTGACAGCTCTTCTCTGAGGCCCTGGGGCTCTGCTCCTTGGTCCCCAGGTTCCAGGACCATCAACGTCCTTTCCTACTGTAACGATGTGGTATGTGGGGATCATATCATCATCAGTGGCCACAATGACCAGAAGATCCGGTTCTGGGATAGCAGGTAACAGGTGGTGGGCTGTGGGTGGGGTGGTGGAGGCTCAGGGACCGGGCTCCTGTGTTCTGTTTCTTTTCTGTGCTGCTGGGGAAGTCAGAATTATTTTTCCAGTTCAGGCAGTTAGAGCCCCTGGAGAGGAGACTTGCCCAAGACCACAGCCAGGTGGAGCTATTGAGGGCATCCTGGAGGGGAGTGAGTCTGTGGGTCTGTCACTGCCAGCTGGTGGGCTCCCTGGGCTGAGGATGGATCCTTGTGTTCAGCTATCCCTAGAGAGCTGTCCCACGCTCTTGGTGGCCCTTGGTCCAGCTGCTGGACTCTGCCTGGGTCTTGCCAGCCAAGATAAGAGAACCACCTTTGTCCACATAATTACCATTTTTCAATCAAAAGGATTTTTTTTTTTTTTTTAAACATAAGAGCTCAACTTGTGTTTGTAGTAGTTTATAAACCAAGTAAACCATTGTTCGTGGCAGTGCTGGGTTGCTGTTGGAAGCCCTTCTCATTCCCTCACATATTTAAAGAATCTCTTCAGTGCTTGCCCTCCTGTGCTTCCTTCCTTTTAGTAACCCAAGGGTTTCAGGGGATACACCTCTTCAATCATAGGCTGCCTGAGATCCTCATTGGAGGGGTGGGCTGCAGTGGGGAGAAGAGGGGGAGTCATGGTCAGGATTGGCCCCAGCAGCCTGAGGCACTGAGTGACTCTAGACTCCGTTACCTAGGAAAGCTGCCTCATCCAGCCCCATCCTGTCAGAAGTGGCCTGGGGGGCTTTTTCTCATCCCCATGCTTGTTCCTGCTCTGCAGGGGGCCTCACTGTACCCAAGTAATCCCTGTGCAGGGCCGAGTCACGTCCCTGAGCCTTAGCCACGATCAGCTGCACCTGCTTAGCTGTTCCCGTGACAACACACTCAAGGTCATAGACCTGCGTGTCAGCAATATCCGCCAGGTGTTCAGGTACCATCTCTGTGTTTGCTGACCCTGGGACTGGGGCTGGGGCAGCTGGGGCTCTTTTCCCTTTAAAAGGTTCCCCAGGGCCCTGCCAGCTGGGGCCCTGCTTGAAGGGCCCTCTAGACCAGGGTCTGCTGATGTGCTCAATGCCTTGATAGAGAGAGGAAGCTCTTGAAGCTCCTGGCCGAGGGGCAGGAGCTACCTCCATTCTAAACCCAGACCTTGTCTGTCCTCAGGGCTGATGGCTTCAAGTGTGGTTCTGACTGGACCAAAGCTGTGTTCAGGTGTGTCTGTGAGAATATAGGCCTGTTCCTTGCTGTGCCTCATCTGACCGTGTGTGTGTGTGTGTGTGTGTGTGTGTGTGTGGCCATCCTCACCCTTGCCTCTCTTCCTGCTCTCGCTCTGTTGTGGCTGCTGCAGTCCGGACAGAAGCTATGCCCTGGCAGGTTCCTGGGATGGAGCCCTTTACATCTGGGATGTAGACACGGGGAAATTAGAGAGCAGCCTTCGGGGGCCTCACTGGTGAGTATAACCACTACCCATTCACCTCTCTGCCCAGCCCTGGGGCCAGTGCCACCTCCTGCTAAACCAATTTTAGATTCTGACATGCTTGAGACCCTGAACCCTCCCTCCCACCAGAGCTCTTCACAGTTCACCAATCACCTTCCCATGTGTACTCCCATACTCACCACAGCCCTGCGAGCCCATTTTATAGATGAGGGAATGGACTCAGAGGGGCCTCCAACTGCCTCAGTCCAACAGTGATGGGTTGAGCCAGGGTGCAGGCTGAGCCCCAACATCCCCTGAAGCCCTGCCTTATCCCTCTCCTCAGTGTTGCTGTCAACGCCGTGGCCTGGTGCTACTCTGGGAGCCACGTGGTGAGCGTGGACCAGGGCAGGAAGGTTGTGCTCTGGCACTAAGACCAGCACTGGGCCTGCCTGGGCTAGAGCGCTAGTCCACAGGCAGCCAGAGAACAGCATCCCACTGCTGCACAGGCTTCCAGCACTGGCCTCCAGCGCCGGCCAGAGAGGGTGGGGGTAAGAACACGGTGGAGGAATGGGGATGACCTCAGGGGACTTAGTAAGGAGGAGGAAGGCCTGGCAGGTCTTGGCTTGTTTGAGGGGAATACAGTATTTTTGTTTGTTTTTAATCTCAATCTCTTCATTTCTCCCCCAATACTAGGGAAAAAAAAAATGCATTTAAACGAGCGTCTGCTCTTTGCAGCATTCATTGTCTAGTGAGGCATTTGGGCTGGTGGGCTTGGCCTCCCTCCTGCACAGAACTAGCTAGGCAGAGCCAAGTGAGCCCTGGCCTGAGGAGAAAAGTGATGTATAAGAATCTAATGGTGGAAACAACCTAAAAGAAGGCCTAGAGGCAGTGAAGGGCAGGGGCTCAGGAATTTCACTCTTGGTCCCAACTGGTCTTGAAGCAAAACCAAACCAAAACTTGGGTCTTTCTAGAGCTAGGTTCTGGGCTGGGGAGGCTCCTGCTTCAGGTACCCGTGGTAAACTGAGGCTGAAGAGGGCCTGTGGGAGCCGCCAGGAGGGAGCAGGGGAGGCAGCCTGCCTGGTCTCTGGTAGAAAGGGTTCTAAAAAAATGCTGATGTCAAAGCACTTGGCAAAGCAAGTGTTACATTCTTACTTCAGGGGTAGAGCCTAAAGTGGGGTGGGGAATGGCTTCTGGGTGTCTGTGTGTTGGGGAGGGCTGCCATGGGCCTTGTCTGTGCCTGGGGCTTTGTTTACATCCCATCACGTTCAGGCTGAACAACAGGCCTCTAAGTATGAGGCAGACCAGACCAGACAGGACAGAGCCAGGTCATCCTACTCCTTTTCCCAGTCCATGGCTGGACACAAGTGCAGAGCTCAGGGCTGTGGATACAGATAATGGGGGGAAGATTCAGTAGGCTGGCCATTGCCAGTCACAACATGGCAGAGGGGGGCTGACCTCTGGGCCTCTGTTCAGCTGAGATTCAAAGGTGATTGCAGGGTGTTAAACCAGACCAACCTTACAAGAGTTGCTAAAGGGAGACCTTTGGACAGAGAACCAACAACAGCAAACAACCACCAGCCATTAATACACATGATGACATAACCCAGAAACACATGATGACATAACCCAGAAACCAACCCAGTTATGGAAGTATCCAAAGTAAATAAGCCTACAAGATTATAAACAGGGAACCAGAGACATCAATTGGTAAATGAGTAAAACTACAAAACAAAGAGGAAAAAACTGTAGTTACAGAACTTCTAAATGGTGAGGAAGTCAAGACAATCTCAGGATTGAATGGACTGTGCTAAACTTGGGAAGAAAATTATAAATCACAGGGTAACCTCAAAGAAAAATGATAAACCATCACGTCAAAATAAAGAGGACAAGCACAAACATTTAGCAAATACTAAAATAGTAGCAACGAAGGAAGTGATAACATGAATTCATAAAATGAGCTTAACACAGAAAATTATGTGGAACAAAGAGATCAGCAACACCATGAAAAAATACGCCAAAATGACAGCAACAAATACATACTTGTTGATAATTACACTGAATGTCAATGGATTAAATGCACCACTTGAGATGGAGAGTTGCAGACTGGATAAGAAAATATAACTCATCAATATGCTGTCTACAAGAGACACACCTTAGAATGACACAAATAATAGGCTAAAAATCAAAGGTTGGAAAAAGACATATTAAGCAAATGTTGTTATGTGCCGTTGAGTCAAACCCGACTCATAGTGACCCCTCCTTGGGTTTCCGAGGCAGTATCACTACGGAAGTAGGATTGCCCAACCTTCCTTCTGAGGAGTGGCTGGTGGGTTTG